GCTTTGTATATGTATGGAGTTTCAGCACATAGCACGAGGTTTCAGGGTCCATTCAGTGTGAGAAGACTTTGTATGTATGGAATGTTTCACTTATGTATGTATGGAGTTTCGCTACAAAGCTCGAGGTTTCAAGCTACATGTTTCAGCACCAGAAGATACTGTATTGAGTTTCGGGGTGGTGTACAGGATTACACATTCCTTTGCATCGCTGGGTTGTTGGTTTTCCTATCTCAAACAAGGCTCACACAAGGTTTCATTTGTTTAATGTATCAGCCCGAGATTTCATACTAGTCTCCTATTGGTGTGGGCCGGTGTGCGATTGATGCGGGAATACACCCCATGGGGCAAGCTTCAGCCCCAACCGCTTGCCTGTCCAGGTCATTCGTCCTACCACCAACACCTTTATCGGAGATGTTTCTTCCCGGCACGTATGCAAAGGCTCCGACCAAGAGACTTCGATCCTTGAAGATTTCGTTAAATAACATAAAGCGAGAATATAGTTTAACAATTTGCAATATATTGTGATGATAAAATATAATAGTGTAAAGTAGAGCAATAGCAATGTTCTCGAGAAACAAGTTAAATATATAAGTAGATCTACGACCCAGCTGCTCTCAAGGTCTTGTGAAGGTATTTACACATACATAGACAAAAAAGCCTCAAACTCCCTAGAATCCAGTTCCTCTCAATATTTCATGCATGTAGACAAACACTAAATTGAACCCAGATGCTCTCAAGGTAACATATAAAAGTGTATATATACATACACATACGATCCACACTTGCTCTCACGGTCCCTGTAAGCCTCAAACCCTACAGTTGCTCTCAAGGTCTTTTGAAGGTATTTACACAGACATAGGTAAAAATCTCAAACTCCGTAGAACCCAGTCCCTCTCAAGGTTTCCTATGTAGACAAACCCCACAAGCTCTACAGAACCCAGAAAAGCTCTCAAGGTAATACTTTTATATGTATATATAGTTATATGGATATATATGCAACCCACACACTTGCTCTAAAGGCACCTAAACCTCAAACCCTATATAGTTGCTCTCAAGGTCTCTCGAAGGTATCTACAGCAAGGGTTCCCACACCTGTGATTATACATTGAGAGATTTTTTCGTTTCACCCCGACCGTATATGTGTGCTTGTCAAGAACCATGAGAGCTGGAAGAATACAGCAGAGAAAACGGAAACGAGAACAAGATGAACAAGCCGCTGGATTTGGTACAAGTGCACTCGCTCAACATTTGGTGTCCGAGTTCGCTTGGGGATCTTACTCACCACAGCAAGTTCAAAAGCTAGCGAGCTTGACTGTGCAGGATTTCAAGAAGGCGGCTCGACCGGAGGATATCCCAGAGGATTTGGTCAAGCTCGCTGGCATCGGCTCTAGTGGACGATACCCGTCCAAGTGCCACGAAGATCTCATGAAGTTGGTGGAACCAGGTGCTAAACTACCTCCACCCACCGTTGCGAACTTGCCTTTCAAGTCGCCGCTCAACGAGCAACCACAGGCGATGTTCCTCCCGCATGAGACCTTCGCCAGTTTGTACAATGAGTACGGCGAGGGCTGGATGAAGTCCATGGTGCCAGATGCCTCCGAGATTCCAGCTTTCTGGGATTCAGTGGCCAATCACCCTGGGGTTGTAGATCACCCACTCAAAACCAGAAGCGATTTTCGCAGCAAGTGTGTGCCAGTCGGCCTTCACGGCGACGACGTCCCGTGCACCGGACTAGGCAAATGTTGGGTGTCGAAGCAAACGGAATTTAGCTGGTTCAGCATGCTCGCCACAGCCCAAAGCACTCAGGACCGCATGTTTTGGATATACGGTTGTATGGAAAAGTTCAAGGTGGCAGAAAACGGACTCCACACCATGCATACCTTTTTCACGATCCTTGCCTGGAGTTTCTTGTGGCTAAGCCGGGGGCAGTGGCCTGATGCAGATTGGAATGGCAAAAAGCAACTCAGAGTTCATTTAAGTTTCAGCAATATATGTAAACATGTTATCACACAAGCTGCTTTCGTGTGTGTTTGTATATATATATATATATGTATATAAATATCAATATAAATATAATTATAAATATAAATATAAATACATAAATATAAATATATATATATATATATATATATATATTATATATATATATATATTTGTGGTACAAAATATGTATGTGTATCAGTCTACATCCCTCTGTTGCTTGTTCGTTGTGTTCTTCTGCTAGTAGACGGTGTTTTGTATCTTTGTTGTTTGTGAAAGAAAACCAACCGTAAAGCCTAATACTTTTGCCATGCACCCCGTAAACCCTTAAGCACACTGAAACTCACATCCCTAAACTCGACAATCACAGGTACCCCAAAGGGTCGCCGGAGCAGAAAAAGGCATTGAAACCCTTGGCCGGCGGATTTTATTGTCTCCTGTTCTGCTTGATCGGTGACCTTGATTACTTCGCTGGTGTCCTGAATCTGCCCCACTTCAGCTCGGCAACGAATCCCTGTCCACTATGCAGGGCCACGGGCAGCGGCGAAAACACGTGGGCGAACTTTAACTCTGACGCACCGTGGCGATCTACGGTATGGACACCTAGTGCCTGGCGAGCATGGGGTGGGCGATCGAAATCACCACTGTTCCGTCTTCCCGGGACGTCCTGTCATACCGTCTCTCTTGATTACCTCCACACGAAATACCTGGGGACGGACCAGTGGTTGTTCGGATCCATTCTGTGGCTTTTGACCCATGTGATCCTCAGTGCCAGCCCTCTGAACAACCTCAAGGATATCTGGAGCAGGATTGAACGGTATTACAAGCAGAGCAAGACACCAGCAAGCAGGCGATACCGATCTCTGGGCAAATTGAGCATGTTTGTTCGGAAAACAGGCTACCCCAAACTCAGGGGCAAAGGTTATGAGCTCAAGAACTTCGGCAGGGCACTTCTCCATGTATGGGAGCAGTGTATGAAGCCACACATCCAGACTCACCAGCAGATCTTGCTCATGCTCCAGATGAATGTCAAGATGGAAGACCTCTTGAGCGAGCACAAAACACTTTGGGTGTTGCCGGAAGCGGCAGCTCGGGAATTTCGGGAGTCTGCCAGGGCCATGTTGTTGGTGTATAATGCCGTTGCAAGACACTTCGCAGAGAGCCTGGTGCATGCAGACTTAGGGTTTTCCTTTTGTTGTTACGACATCTAGTTAATCTAGTTTGTAGAATTGTGTGTGCTTCGTTGAATCCACCAAGGGAAGGCCTTCAGCTCTTTGATATCACCAGCAAGTTCCACTTGCTGCAGCACATCACAGACTATGCCGATTGTGTGTCCCCCCGCCTGGTGCCTCCACCAGTGTTGGCAGCACCGCTTTGCATTTTTGATTCTAAATCTCTTCGCCAACCAACACAAACATGTATAAGGTATGGTGCTTTTCGGGAGAAGACCTCATGAGACACATGCAGCATCTCGCACAATCGTGCAGTAGAGGCGTCAAGCCGGTGACTGTGGTCAACAAAATGGCCAGAAAGTACCGCCTGGCGATGCACCTGCAGCTCACGAAGCCTTGAAAAAAACGTGATACGATGTCATTGCGAGATGACTCTCCGAACAAAGACGGTTCTTTATTTCCACCACACAAGTACTCTCAAGGTGTTATTCTGTCTCTCAAGGTGTTTTTCTGTCTGTTTAGTACACAACACAATATATGTCCAGAAAGACTCACAACCTCAAGCCTGCAAGCCCTGAACCCAGAGAGTCTGTCTGTATATGGACCCTGAAGACTTGTGTGTGTGTGTATGCGACACACCAAGAAGATATACCGGAAAGCGAGAGGAGGTTCGTGAACCCAGAGAGCTTATATCTACACAAACCATATATGAGTGCGAAACCGAGAGGGGTTTTGAGACTTTACTGTGTTATCACGTGGTTCTTACTGTTGTGTGTTAACAAGCACCTTGTCCAAACGAGTCACACCATGTACCCAGACCATGAGAGTAGCAGAGGCTCTCAGCCTTACGAGCTCTACAAACCTTTTTTCTATAGTGTAAACCCAGAAAAAGAGCTTGTACCTACACAGACCATGAGAGTAGACAATTTTGTGCTGAGGGCTCAACCCTTTATGTACAGTCCCCAAACCCAAAGGGCATGTCTCTCGCTCTCTTTCTCTCTCTCTCTCTCTCTCTCTCTCTCTCTCTCTCTCGCCCTCTCTCTTTCTAAATTTTTTTATATGCTTTTATTATATATTCTACTATATTATATTATATGTTGTTGTATTCTACCGTATAAGGGGCCCAGCCCTATACAAGTTCCAGACCCGGAGAGACTGTATACAGATGTAGACAGACCAAGTGAAACCTTTGCCCTTCCTGCTACAAGACCCGAAACAGATCTCATGAAGTATACCTTTCCTGTCAAGACCAGAAAAAGATCTGATGAATTATATACCTTCCCTGTTAAGACCAGAAGAAGATCTGATGAATTATACCTTCCCTGTTAAGACCCCAGAAGAAGATCTGATGAATTATACCTTCCCTGTTAAGACCCCAGAAAAAGATCTGATGAATTACCTTCCCTGTTAAGATCCCAGAAAAAGATCTGATGAATTACCTTCCCTGTTAAGACCAGAAAAAAGCTGATTACCGAGAATATAAACCACAAAAGATGCTGCATTTCTGTGACGAAAGCCCCATCGAAGTTTCGACCTGCAGCCCTCAAACTTCGACCTGTGACCCTTCAAACTTCGACCAGTGAGGGGCCGAAACTTCGACGAAGTTTCGTCGAAGTTTCGTCCTCGCCCGGGCCCAAACGAGTTAACTAAATCCTGTGATTTTGGATATGATATCCAAAATCACAGGTTGAGCATATCCAAAATCACAGCGCCATTTCAAAACTGTGATTTTGGATATCTACGTGTTCCCTTTTTGCTCCCTGCGTCCTTCCTGTAGGGTTCCGTTTAGTTAAAATTTTGGCTCCAGCCAAAATCTTAACTAATAGTTAACTTTTGGGCTAACCCAGTCTATGGGGTGAGGTCACCATTCTCGTCGAGCTGGGTGATGGCGAAGGAGAGCGCGGCGAAGCAGTCGCCCCGCGGCGGTTCGAGAAGGCGTCCCATATCGGCCAAATCGGGCAAGGATGCCATGGTGACGCCCCAGCCATCAGGCGCCCGGCACGGGCCCATCACTCGCCCCAGCCGAGTCTCCTTCACCAGCTCCTCCCTAAGGGCCAGGGTGTGTTCCGAGTCCTGGGGGCGACGCGTCTTGGCCGCCACGTAGGCTGGGTTCTCCCGCGCCCCTTCCGCCTCCTCCTGGGCGTGGCCAGCGCGGGAAGGTCGGCCTGGCCGGGGGCCTGCTGCCCCGGCTGGGCCGCCACAACAACCTGGCCCGGGGCCAACTGCCCGGGCGCAGACGATAGAGCCGACGACGGGCGATTTGAGCATGAACCACGTGGCCAGCACCAGGACGTCGGTGGCGTGGGGGACGGCGACCGGGTCAAAGGCGAGGTCGCACCTGTAGGACACGAGGACGCCCGGAAGGCCTCCTTGAGACGCGTTCCAGGGAGGCCCCGCACAATGGACTTCACCGCCATGTTGGCGAGGCGGCGCAAGACGGGCGGAAACTCCAGCCCAAGGTCGTGCTCCTGGTGGCGGAAGGCGGCCAAGAAATACTCCTTGGCGCTGCGATAGCCCCCCTTCTTGAAGGCCGCCCCCAGGGCTTCGATGGTGTCGGCGGACACCGGCCAAGGGTCGACCTGGCCCTGGTAAGACAGGGCCATCCACGTCTTGAGCCTGGACGCGTACGGCCCGAAAGAGGTCTCCGCCAAGTACCCGTCGCGGAGCTCCTCCACAGAGCGCTTGCGCTTCTCCGGAAGCAGGGCGTCCAGGGCCGCCCGCAAGTTGGCTCGAACGGGCACCCTCCGTCGAGGGACGTCGGGCCGGCCCGGCACGTGGGCCGACGGAATCACCGCCAGATCTGTGGCCCACAGCAGGCGGCGGTGGGGCGGCCAGCAGCGCCTCAATGGCTGTCGGCGGGACGCCCGCAGGCGTCGATGCGCGCGAAGAGGTCAGGGATGTGCTTCACCCAGCCGCCCGAATGGCCGGCAAATGAACTGTCTGGCCTGCCCGGTCAGCCAGGGCGACCAGCTCGGCGAAAGAGCCCCGAGTTCCGCCATGCCGGCGATCACCTGAGCAAAAGCCCTTGGCGAAAGACGTCTCGAGCCGTGCCCTGCGAAGGGCTTGAGCAGTCGAGCCGAACTTAAGGGGGGGGGGGGGAGAGGCTTACACAGAAGACCCTCGCACTTTTTGGCGCGCCCGCGAAGGCGGTGAGAGGTGCAAAATGGGCGGTCGCCCCGATGAGTGAGACGGCCGCCACGGCAGGGATGTAGAGGCAGGCGAGGTCGAAGTAGCCACGCGCGCAAGGGGGCCCCACCATGACGAACTCAGCGGTCCCGCTCGCCCGGAGAGTCCGGGGCGCACCGTGCACAATTGTGGTGCGAGTGCGGCCGCCCGGTGACGTACGGGCACCGGGCTGCCGACACCGGTCTGAACCAAGGGCCGGGGCACTTGGCGAAGCACCAACCGATGTAGTGGGTGCCGTCCTGGGGCGGCTCCCTGGGCAGCTTGCCGCCCTGGACGCCCTCCGGGAGGCTGCGCACGAAGATGCCCGCGACGGTCCGTCGAGGCCGAGCGGCAGCTCTGAGTCGAAAAAGTCCGCCCCAGGACGGTGCTTCATCTGCCTGTAGCGGTCCCACCGCTCCTTGCGCGTGACGGGCGTGCCGTCTTGGCGATGAAGGGACCTGTTTTTGGTCCCGTGGCCGCCACGGCCACTGGGCGGCACGCCCGCGCAGGCCGAAGACGGGATGGTCGCGCTCCGGGTCCACCCCTTCCTGAGGAACGATCACCTCCGGCGCCCTTTGCCCTGCCGGTTTTGCCGGGGGCGGCGGCGTGGCCATTTCCCGCAGCTCGCGCTGGATCCGTAGCTGGAGCATCTCGTCGTAAGTGACGTCGAAGCCCATCGGCCCCATTCCAGCCAGCGCCCGAAGGGCGTTCTCCTGGTTGATCGCCCTACGCTGCCGCTCGTAGGGCGTCGGCTCCTCCACGGCTGGCACGGCCGCCGGCGAAGGGGCAGCCGATCCAAACAACCCAGACGGCTGACGCTGGTGAGGCGCTTGGTCGTCCGCCCCCGTGGCAGGCTCAACCACCAGCGGGGGGGGAGGCGCCTTGGCGAAGGGCTTGGCCTTCGGAGCCGCCCCCTGGTCAGCCAGCTCCGGCGGCGGCTGTCGTGTCTGGCGGCCGGAAAGCCAGCCAAGTAGCCGTCGAGCCCCGTATGCCCCGTGCCGTCCTCGAGGTCGTCCTCGCCGTCCTCCGGTACGGGCAAGGCGGCGGCGTCAACTGGGACCGCGCCCGCCGAGGCGTCGACGTGGTGGGAAGCCGCCTCTTGGTCCGACCAGAACTGGCGAGCTTCCGGTACCGAAGGCCCTGGCACCACGGACGGAAGGGGCCCAGGCGGCGCAAGCCAGGCCTCGGCTGGCAGGCCGCCCGAAGGGGCCGTCGTAGATGCCGATAAGGGCGGACAGGGCGTCGGCGTAGTCGACAAGGTTGTGCCCGTCGGAGGCAAAGTCCCGGATGCCGACGAAGGCGACGAGATAGCCGGTGTCGAAGGCCCAGCCGTGGGCTGGGCAGCCGTGCACGCCGCCATCAGGCGAGCCAGGTCGACTGCAGACAAGGCGCCCACAGCTGCGGCGAGCTCGCCGTCAGACGCCCCTGCCGCAAAATTTGTGATGAACACATGGGCCTCTGTCTGCGTGGCCACATGTGTGACGCCAAAGGCGCCCAATCCAAGCCAGCAGCCGCGGCGAAGTCGGCCGCTGCCTGGGCTTCGGCGGCAGCCAGGGCTGCGGCGGCGTCGAAGGCGGGGGCGCGTCCAGTCGACATGACCAGAACGACGAGAGGCGTAAGGACGGGAGGAACTCAAATCAGGCGATCGAACCGGCAAGCTGCGGTTCGGTCGCTGACGCTTGTTCCTACTCGCACACGTGCGCTACACCGCAAGTAATCTGTTCAAGATTGTTGGTGTCTTCGGTGGCGCTGCAAACGGAGTTGACAGAAAGCTGGTAACCGGCGGACTCTGTGATTTGTCTTCCACCTGAGAGGTGGCACCGTAAAGGGCCTTGCAGCCTCTGGCGGCAGCACGAGTGCTGTATGCTTAATGGATGTTCTATCCCTAAGCCCAAATGGCTTCAGTCTTCCTTATAGCACAAGGGAGCATGACACTCAGAAACTCGTATGCCCTGTGTTTCGAGATGCGCTGCGTCTGAGACCGGTACCCTGTCCTCCAAGGCTTTGTTCTCTTTCTGGCCATGGCCAGACCATCGCATCCAGAAGCGCTGGTCTGTTCAGGGCATCAAGGGGTGGTGCCCCACGATGGCCTGGGCCTAGCTTTGAAGTCTTGGGATCCATGTCCTTCAGCCTGCTGTGTCGGCTATGCTTATTTACTCTTCACAACAGGTGCCAAATGCTATCAGCATGGTGGCTGCCACAGCTTGGCAAGGTCAAGTCAGAGCGGAAGCCAGAGATTTCCACTGGGCATCTTTTAAACCGCGTGCGTGCTCTCCGTGCTCCCCGAGTAACCAGCTTCATCCCAGCTAGTTCAAGGCTGCAAGAGTCCTGCAAAAAAACACATGCAAGGCAAGAGGTAGAGCCAGAGAAGGAAGGTCTGAGAATGCAGCGTTGTCCTGAGGAAGGCATCCTCACATCCTTCGGCGGCTGCCCATTCTTGAGCAGACAAGCCTGCATCGTCTTTCTTCGCGGGGTCAGCCTGAGTGCAGCAAAACTGTTCTTCTCTTGGAGGATGATGGAAACAGATGCTCAATGACTCCAGCACACAACTGCCACGAAATCCTAGACAAAGCTGGCCAAGTTCTCGACTCCTGCTACAAGCAGTGCCTTCCAGGAAGTTGATGCATTGCAAGTGATGGATACGAGGCTAACATGGAGAAACACGCGCTTTCTTGGCACATCTATTCATCCCCGTGGTTCTGATCGAATGTTTCGGCGTGGCCTGGCAGGGAGTACTGTACCTGGACAGAGTCCCTCTTCTGACGCCCAGAGATCATGGAGTTTTCGCTGCCAGGGTGTGATGTTACGCTGATGCTTCTTGTTCTTTCCTCCCCTCTTGCCTGCCGTCCACCCTTCCCACTTGTCCATCAACAAACTGTCAACGAAAGCAGGACTGGCAAAAGTTGGTAGGCACATATCGCGTTCCGGGATGTCGTGCCAGTGAGAAGCATGACTAACCCCTGCAAGCAGGCATCAGGTGCTGCTTCCATTTATGGCTGTCTGGCTGTTACAGATGCTTTCTGGTTGAAGCTTTGCCAGCCAGCCAGCCCGTGCACCCTATGATCAGAGTGTAGACACCTCGTGGCGACATTTAGGGAACCTGCTGTTGCCTCCCATTGGTTTGGAGCGGCCTGCGGGCAAAAAGGAGCTTCTCGGAGCGCCCCGGCCCCCGGGGCCCGAGACTCAAAGTGCCATCATAGGCTCAGTTAGGAATTCGGGCACGAATTCACACACAGCAGATGGGTCCGCGCACTCATGTCGTCACAGGGAACTCGAGACATGGATAGTTACTTAGCTTCGCAGTCCCACGGCTAAGATCTTGGCACTGCAAAAACTTTCGTGCACTGCCATACCGCTTCCCACTGGTCTGAAAAGTACAGAACACAAGGATCTCAAGAGGGGCGTCACCGCGCCTTCGTAGGGATCTCCTCCCCACGGCCTGGACTGGAAGAACGCGCCAAAGGCTGCGACGAAGGCGTCAGCCACTGCCGCGGTGGCCTGCAGCCCAGCTAAGGGCCGTTCGCCTCAGACTGGGCGCGGCAGGGCAGAGGCCAGGGCGGCAGGGCAGCGCGCGATGCGCAGCTGACGTGCTCCCTGACGTGCTCCCTGACGTGCTCCGCGTCTCGGCCCACGGCCCGGCGTTGTCCGCGGCGTCCGGCTCGGCCCGGGCCTGGGCTGCAAAGCCGGCGCCCGGGGAATCCGGAGAGCGGCACAGGGCGGTCCCCGGGGTCGCCTGCAGCAGCAGCTCCAGAACTCTCTCCTGACCTCAGAAGGGAAGAAGCTGACAGAAGCGAGCCCAGCACGGAGCCCACCTTCGGAAGCTGCCCACACCTCGCCGGTAGACAGATGCCACGACTATGACACTTGAGCTATGAGGCTGGGGCCAAGGGAGTGGCACCCTCACTGTCCCGGAGTTCGAGATCAGCACGTGCCGCCAGTAGGAGTGGCAGCACGCGAGTGCAACCAGAGCTCGCAGCCCAGGTAAGGGCAGTGGCTCCATCCTCATCAACGGCATTCACGTCCGCATTGGACGACAGTAGGAGATTGACGGCTTGAGGTTGATTGGCACGAGATGCCATCATCAGCGGGCGAAGCCCGTCTGTGCTCACAGATTCTACGTCCGCTCTTGCATCTAGAAGCTCTCGAATAACCTCTTTTCGGCCACGCATACTTGCCAAGGAGAAGGGCGTCTGGTCATTCATGTCCGTTTCTTCCAAGGATGCCCGAGCATCCAGAAGGGTTCGTACAACCGCAGAATGGCCAGCCCCAGCTGCGAGGCAAAGTGCGGAGTTGCCGTCGGCATCTCCCGATGAGGGCGAGAGGCCCTCGGCTAGCAGAAGCTTCACCGCAGCCTCGTGGCCAACATGGCATGCTCTTACCAGGGCCACGGTGTCGTCGAAGCTCCGGCCTTCGCCCGCCATGAAGAAACCAGCCCCTGTTATGACATAAGCTGTTTCATCAAGACTTGCTGCATCGAGCACCCCACCAACGCCGCATGCCAGAAACAACAATGGAGTGCCAAAGTGCTGTTCAGAGTGCCTCCTGCATCTGGTGTGCTTGAGCCACCCGATTTCGTGAAAGCACAAGTGAGTTCGCGGTTCCGGATCTCTTGTAGTGAGGTTGGGCGACTTTGCGATTTGAGTCAGCCGATGTCAGCCGTTCAGCCAGGAGCCCCATGACATTGATGGAGCATTCGAGCACTGTCTACGATGGCGTTTTGCCTACAATGCTCACTGCCAGCATTTGAATCGGCCTGCAAGTCTTCACAGATGCGATCGGACGGCGCCGGGCTGGTCTAAGGCCCCGACTTGGTCGGCGCGTCATCTTGCGTCTCTACTTTGGAGAGTCGCACCTAGGTCCACAACCTTTGCATGCCGCACCCCGATACGAAACCGGCAAGCCACCACCACGTCGTAGCCGCTGGTAATTTTCCCAAACACAGGATGTCTTGATGTACCTCCAGCTCGGGAAGCAGACAGCTGGAGGCAAGACGCAAGCGAGCACTGTGCCAAAAGAGCACGGACGCATCGCCTGGAGAGAACCAGTCGAGAAAGCTGTTGTCTGCCACGTTGATGAAGAACTGAGAGCCGCCTGAGTCTGAGCTGCGGCTGGGGTGGCCATGGGAAGCAGTGATGGCTTATGGCGGCTGGGCCTGTGTTCGGCTGGCCGCAGTTTGCCATGGCAAGAGTCCCGGGTGCATTGCTGTCTTTGGAGATCAGCTCATCCTGAAAAAGGTTTGTGCCCAAGGCTTCTTGACGTGTTCGTGGGGAGCTCCTGAATGTTGCCGCCGTTGTAGCGCCTTTCAGCTGCCCCGGTCTGGAGGTTTGGGAAACTCCTGGCGGCTTCGTCCGGCGGTTGCTGACGCGAAGCATTGCCATCGTCGAGCCATTGACAACTCGAAACCAAAGGCAGTCCCGTCACGCGGACCACCACTTCCAGCTCCTGTCTTAGGGCCAGGCAAGGCCAAGCTTTGCTGGGTTCTCTTTTTTTGAACCCTCATGCCTTTTTGCCAGTGCATCTAGGCTACCATGTCTGGTGGAGGGGTGGGTGCTCTCCACTCACATTCTCTGCTGGGGTCTCTGGGGCCCAGGCTTTTGCTTTGCGGATCCTCGCGGCGGTACAAATCATGTCAGTACGATGGGGAACGCCACAAAGCATCTGCTGGGCTCAGTCAGCTCAGTCCCTGGAGAAGGGGCAGCCAAACCTCGGACTCTCACGGACTCAGACATGCCGACGCCGGCTTTGTTTTGGACTTCCCTCTGGGCATCCTGCTGGGCCATGAAGTCAGGGATGACTCGGTGGAAATGGAGCCCGTTGAAAAATCCAGACCGTGCCAAGTCCTCGAGTTCTGAAGCACAGAGGCAGCGCTCGCACCCTCCACACCCGCACTGCTTGGCGTCGCACGATGAAATTTGAGGCGGTCACCGGTACCTCGTGCCAGAATCTGAGCACGTTTTCCGGAGCGGATCTAGGTTCAAGCTGGCCTTCAAGGTCAAATCAAATCTAACTAATTGATCGGACAGTGCTTCTCACTTGCTGTTTTCGGTCTGCGCCGTCGAAGTCGGAGGCGAGTTTCTCCTCAGGAGTTCGCCTCTCGAGCTCGTCCCACAGGCACGGGTGCGAGCGCACTGGTCTGTACCCAATGCCACCTCGTGGTCACGCTCCCCGGGTCTGCAGAGGGCAACTAAATACTAAATCGGAATCCCAAGCTTTCCGAATTCCACGGCCCAGCACGTGCTTTTGGAAAAGCAGAGCAAAAGCAGAACGCAGCCTCTTGAAGAGGTGCCGTTGCTGGACCCTAGTCAGGCAGCCTCGCCTTGCAAGCAGAGCTTTGTTAGTTTGCAAAAGAAGCATGGTTCAACTCCAGGCTCCAGCCTTTCGACAAGGCGACCGCGGAGTGTGTGGATGCTCCTAAGTAGAGGCCATCAATAGACCGCACTAACGCAAAGCCGGCCCTCCGTCACTGCCGAGGAACCACCAAGCGCGCCAAGGGCTTCTGCTTCGGCGAACTTCCCTGCAACAGCACGTGCAGGATCACAGAACCCCGACGATGCTACTTTCAAAGTGCACTTTCAACATCCCAGTCCTGCAGAGTCTCCGGCCCCGATTTAGGCAGCAGCTGTGGCAACTGGTGTCGCTGCGGCGGGAGCAGTGCTTGAACGCGGCGCGAAGGAGACATGTCATCCAAGCCAAAGACGGACTTCCACAGGCCTTGCTGCTGCTGGATAAGGCTTTCCGCACAAGAGGCCCTTAAATTCTGCCGGGTCGCGCTCTTTCGCAGGATCATGGCTGACACTTTGAAGGCTGTTGGACGGTTCGTCCTCGTCAATGACGGAAGTCAGCAGAGTCAGCTCTTCTGCGTTCAGGTCTTCCATGTTCCAGTCCAAGTCATCCTGAGTACACTCGTAGGACATGTTCCGATGCCGGTTCACGGGAAAACAATGAGGCTGATTTCAGGTTCGTGGCGGTGTTTTTCCGGTTGCGGCGTGTCAGGGCAGGAAGCCTCACTGGCGGCAGAATCTCGATCCGCGTCTTGACCTGCGGCACCGGCGCCGCAGGCGTGCGCTTCGCCTTCTTCGCCTTCTTCGACCGCTTCGTCTTCTTCGGCTCCTCCTCCTCCTCGGCGTCCACGGCATCCATTGCCTCTTGCTCCGGCTCCGCCTCTTCCTCGTCGTCTTTCTCCTCGCTCCGGTTTGGAGAGCCCGGTGCTTGGGACGGCCCAGCCGAAGGAATGCCAAAGACGCTGTGCTCTGCTTCCTCAGCGCCTTCTAAATGAAATTCCAGCTCGATCTTGCCTGTGCCCCGGACACTTTCAGCACCCTCGCCTAACTGCACGGCAGTCTGTGGCGTGGCTGCCGAAAGCTCCCGGAACTCTTCCTCGTTCTCTTCATCCTCCTCCTTGGCCTCCTCCTCCTCCTCCTCCTCCAACTCCTCCGCCTCTGTCCCGTGCTGATCCCTCCGCTCCACCTGCTCTTCCTTCCCTGCCTGCTCCTGCTCCTGCTCCTGCTCCTGCTCTTGCTCCTGCTCCTGCTCCTGCTCCTGCTCGAAACTCCAGTCCGATTGAGGGCGATCTTGATCACTGAGACTGCCTGCAGCGGGTCGGGTGCCGTTGTGCGCTAAGTCCCCCATCTCTTCAAGCTCTTCGAGCGCCCCTCCGTCGAAATCTTCGGAAGCTGCGGACGCATCGCAGTCTTCCTTGTCGGGGAACTGTGAATGTGCGAAACCCGACACTGCAACCACAGTTCGCACTTTTGTCACTTCAGACTTCACTCGTACTTTCTTTTGCTTCTGCTGGCCCTACGATCGCTAGCAGCTCTCTGGCCCCGGCCTTGCTTACGGCTTCCGCCGCTTCCGCCTCCTCCGAAAGGAGGCCGCGCATGTATTTCCTGTCAGGCCCAAGACGAAGAGCGCTGCAAGGCGGCCTCTCTTCTGGAATCCGAGTGGCTCGTCCAATCGTGCCAAGCTGTACTCGATCAACTTGTTTGCACCCTGGGTTAGCACAGGATTCCCATTTCCGTACTGAAGCCGTGGCACGTTGCGGTCCAGACACGTCACAGAACGTAGACAGTATGCTTTTCGTCTCCTCAAACTGAACCTTCTTCTGTGGTGACCGCGACGGGCCCCTGGCCTGTTTCACAGAAGTGCCCACAAGCAGCAGCAACAGTTAAATATCAATAGAGCAAAAACCGAGCTGACACCTTCGGCAATGGCTGCGGAACAGCCCAGCGTTTTTCGTAGTCCGGTACGCACTAGGAGCATGTATCGAAACATGTTGACATTATCTTGTATCGGCTGCAGAAAGTGCGCAGGCAGCGTCTCGTCAACTGGCTCTTCTGAGATCGCTTGATTTCCTGGCCTTTTCCTGACCTGTTCTGGGGCTTACCAGCAGCTTCCTCTGCCCAACCCGTTCGGCCTTCGCTTGAGTTTTGTGGGCTGGGTCATCCCTCAAAGTGTTTCCTCACTTGCAGACAAGCAGGGACTGTTCCCGACCACGCGGTTGGCAAGTCGGTGAGATCAGGAACACGCATAAGCGGCACGTGGGTCATGGAGGCTGTCGGCCATTGAGAAACAGGCTCTTTCACAAGCGGTTTCGGAAAATCAACCACCAATTCCAAGGTTCTTTTGCCACCCGCCCCAGCTGAACAAAGTCGCACCGCAGGGAACTCGGCGGAATCTACAACTTGAGAGAGGGTCCCAGGGAAAGTGCACTCTTCAAATAGGCAAGCCCTACAGCAGGTAATTCCAAGGTTTAGAAGGAATGGATAGCAGAAGGAAAGCTGCTACTGGCCTGAGCGAGTGCATCTCTCATCGCATCAATGTCACCTCGGATAGGGCCATTGCTGCTTTGCGGTTGGGTTGAGCTTCTTGTTCTCACGCTCTCCAAAACAACCAGGCCGCACTGCAGATCTTGTATCAAGGCTTTGGCACGCGCCTTGCTTTCTTCAATCTTCTCAGCGACCCTGCAATGAGACTGGCTTCGGAAAATGTCGCAGGATAAGGCAAGACAGCAAATGCACAGCCATGCATGCCGCCATGAGGTGATTGGCGCATTGGCTCCCAGCCTAAATACTTGCACATCGACGTCTAAGAGGGCCCTCAACTCGCCGAGCATGCCTTGCAAAAAAGGGAGCACCCGTACTGTAAGACGAGATACGCTTTCGCACTCAAACTCGCCAGATGAGGTTCTTGGTGCGACGTGGCACATTCCGCTCCTGGGTTCTTTGTTGGCCAAAGTCTCGATACATCTCGATGCAATGTGGAGCGCGTGGCGCCAGAGTTAAGACGGAATCGTGCAGCTTTCGGCCACGTGGTCAAATTGGGGCTTGAAGGTGCGCCCCCCCGGTGGCTGAAAGTGCGTGGCACAGCCCTGGGATTTCACAACAAAGGTAACCTCACAATCGCAAGGAAAGTTCTGCCTAGCACCGCGGTTTCATAGCTACCTTTGCCCTTCAGCAGCAGATGCTAGGCTCTGGTGTTCCTGCCAAACGTCAGCGATGGAGAAGCGGAAACAAAGCCTGGAGCTCGTGCATGTACGTGACCCGTACAGTAATGAGGGTCGTGCTTGTGCAGCTGTCGATGGTGTCATGGGTCTGCTGCAGGAGCTCATCCGCCTGAGATCGCTTTGGCCGCAGAGTTCTCTTCAAAAACGGGGGGGAAAAGCCGAAGGGAGCCGGAGCCTCGGAGTCTTCTGCCATCTCCCGGAGCCTTGCCACCTTTAGGGAAACTCGGACTCGAAAGCTCTCCGAAGGACCACTGCATACCACTGCCGACTGCCGACCTGCCGAATCGCCTCCTCGAGCAGGTCCGAGGAAGTCAGGGCACCGGACTTCCAGGACATATCCTCATCTTGCCGACACTGCAACTACTACACTGATCAATCCCGGAGGGCAGTTGCTGGACTACCTGGGGCTCCCAGCAATTGACTCCAGGCCCTCCTCGAATTCGTCTTGCAGGAGAGTGCGTTCTTGTTTCTTCTCTTCCGCATTCTCATGCAGGGCCGTCCTGATCACCACCCCAACGTCACAGTCTCAACAAACCTTGCCAGCGACCATCTCTTCTCGCCGAGGTGCACGAAGCCCTGCTGATGTCCATGGGATTTGGCTCCTGGTGAAGGCAAATGCAAAGAGAGCTCTACAAGCTGCATCGCCGGCGGACAGCGATGCAGGGTTTTCCACTTCCTGCTACGACCGAGCGGACCATCAGCATCATCTTTTCGGGTTGCTGAGCAGTTTGCCGCTGCCTTGGAAGCAGTATCCGGCATGAAATCTTGCTGTTCACCGGTAGAAGTGTTCGGGCCGGGTGCAGAAAATTCCTGGCATGGCCAAAAATGGTTCGTCTGGCTGCCACGCCGATTCCTCCTGGAGACACAGGAAAAAGAAGCCACGGAAGCCTAGAACTGCTACAGCCGCTACAGCGTCCTGAACCAGGTTCCTTGAGAATCTGGGGCACCAGCTTCGTAATCGAAGCTTTGCCTGGAGCGGCGGCCTGCTTGAGGCGTTGCCACTTGGAGCCGGCATCGAACCTGGAAGCCCCGCCCCGCCCCGCGCAGCCCCGACATGCCCCGAAATGCTGGAATCAGCCAGGGCTCGGAAGGTCGGGCACTATGTTTTGATGCCTTGGCTTTCGGGCTCTCCCAGATCCTCCCAAACACCAAACACCTACACCACAAATTGGGGGCCGAGATCCTTTGCCGGGCGGCGAGAGTGTTCGGCCCTGGGCCTGGGCCGTCGCCGAGAGAAAAGCATGCTTGCCTCAGCCGCCCCACACACACACACGCACGCACACACACACACACACACACACACGTGTGTGTCACCGCACCATCACCACACAGCCAAGTCTCTGGTGGTGCGCGTCGCCGACCTCGGCGAGGCCGAGTCGCCTGTCGTAACATCTGCGTAGCATGTTCGATTTCCGCTGCTTGCATCAAGGCAACAGGACTTGCAGGTCCACCTGTCAACGACCGTGAGGCACTCCTGGACATGCTCTCACCTCGCAGGCAAAATCAGCTCTCTCTAGTCATCTCTCATCCTTCTCCCCCTTCTGCTCATGCTCTTCTTCCTCTCGTGGGTCCCTCCATCCACTCCCAACCTTTGTCAGGCCGCAAGGCCTGCCTGTCCTGGGGAAACACCCACCCCATTTCGCGAGCCCCCTTCTCTTTCTCTGGGCCCCACCGGGTCCATCACGATTCCAAACCCGAGGGAAGGCGACCCTCTGCATGAGGCAAGACATGGAAGTGAAACTTCGAATCTCTCAGCTCCAGCAGGAAATCTAAATTGGTCTCGCCACGTCACCTCCTGCATGCCCACGTCCAACCCATGATTTCAGCTCTTGGCTGATCAGAACTAATAAGAAGCCATCATGCTGCGGTGCGGATGTAGTGTTCCAAAGTCCGAAACTAGGCTCGTTTAGGGGGCGCAGCCGCCTGAACGGAGCCCCTCCATGACGCACACAGCATGAATGCGCATCAGAGGGGGGATGAGTGGCACCCTGTCCAAGTAGATCTCCGCCGTGAAAACTCCTGGCAGTCTCGTGTCCGATGCTGAGGGAACCCAATGACTGACCGAGCATGGCCTGCGGTTGTCTCGAAGCGGGCATTCGGATTTGCCATGGGGGCAAGCTAACACGACAGAAGGCTTCTACATCGCGTCTTTCGGCGGGAGCCGCTTCGACAGGCCCGAACGAGCGGCAGAAGGCTTTCAATGCGGTGCAGTCTCATTCACGGAACAGCAACGGAAACCAAGTATCGCGGCGACACTATGCAACACTTTTGCAACGCCGCCATGTGCAGTTGATGCTTTACTGCGCCAGGCCCGGCATGCCGATAATTTGGCGAAGTGTGAAACTTGGTGAAACGTCACGTCCCAAAGCTGGCGGAATCTTCGTGCACGTAACCCAGTTTGCCAAAAAACATCAGAAAAAGGCTCGTTAGCTCCTGCGCTGCTAATACCGTCTCTCGGCACTATTGATGGCGCGACAGCATCTGATAGAATTCGTCGAACGTGATCTGAACAGGGGAAATCTTGAGCTATGCGAGTGCCTGATTACTTCAAATTGTGCACATTACGGTCGCACGGGCCTCGCTGCTGCCGTTCTTGTCGCAGAAACTAACCTAAAAGCCGCTTGCACATGAAGACGAAGTGTAAAAGAACAGCTTTCCAGAAAGCTCCGCACCATATCGCGGAGTTCTTCGATGGAGAGCTCCAGGCCAAATCTGTGCACGACATATTTTGTTTGGGATTTCCCTATGATGTTATGCATGCCGCTCATCGCTCATTTTCTATGCTGGGGTCCTCCTTCAGAGATACAGAAAGATCTCACAGCACAGGCGCATTAGGGCAAGGGAAGTACCATATGAACCCAAGAGAGGGCAGGACTGGTACAGATACAAAGCACTGCCGAAACAGATTACAGTTTACCCCGGGAACCCGAGAGAGGGCAGGACTGCTACAGATACAAAGCACTGCCGAAACAGACTACAACAGCCTCCGGTTTACCCCTGGAACCAAAGAGGGCGACAGATGACGACAGCCTCCGGTTTACCCCGGAAGCTAAAACTTTAAGGGACGGCGAGACTGCTACAGAAATCATTGTCCGGTAGTGCTTTCCTGAACGAAGCTCACAAGGACAGAACAGAACTATGTCATTTAAGAGTGCAAGGATGGTGCAAGGTCCGGACAAAATCTATCATTCATCACAACTTGGCGGAGCCTGCGGGATCGATGGCTAGCTAGCTATGCAGACTGCCTTCCAGACCAAGCCCAAACTGGAAACCTTGACCTTCACTGATGGCAGCGCACAGACCCATGAACAAGTCGTCCATGGATGGTTGCACGACAAACACAGTTTGGCGTTCCTCACTTGCAAAGGCTTGACGGTACTCCGAGACATACCGTCCCAACTGCTGGTCAGCGAGTTCCGAAACTTTCTGATGACGCTCATGGACATGCCATCCAGCCAGCTCCCCGACCTCCTGAACAAGCTGTGTCTGTATGGCAAAGCTTCGTTCACAGCTGTCCGCCTGATGTCTTCCGAGCTGTCCAAGCTGCACCGCCAAGCAATGTAAACGCAAGGACAGCATCTCGAAAATGTCTCTGATGGCTTTAGCTTCGTATGAAAAGTACCGTCATGCGTTACCGAAGATGCTGGAGATGCAAGGACTCCCGGTCTTCGCTTTCAATCGGGCATGGGAAAGTCCCACTCTTGAAGAACTTCATCGCGAATTCCAAATATGTACCGCTGCATGCGAAGACTTTTCCGATGTGCGTCTGCAGACGGGATGCGCTCTCTTCGGCCTTGCAGGTTCGTTGGGGAAAAACCTTGAGGCCAAACTACCCCAATGACGGTGGCAGGAAGTGTTTCAGAAGGCGGAGCAGGTGACATGCACGGCGTCGCTTCAGGAGCGTGGCTGGCAATGCAGCTCTGGCCACAACCAAGCGGCTATCTACAATAGCCTCTATGTGACGAGACAGCCTTTTCTTTTGCTTGTCGATGCGCATCAGCTGCGAATCTCCATGACGTGCTCAGACACTAATAGTAATAGTCCTTTCTGCAGGGTGACACAGCTGACTAGTAGCTTGGCTTGCACATCTGTGTTCGACAAAGCTAGAAGTCAGTCACCAGTCGTCGCGGTATGCGTTGTGCAAACCACCCGATCCATCCACACACCGAAATGTTGGCAAAGCTCATGACATAAAGAAGGCCGCCCGTGTTTTCTGTCCATGCACGCTGCAAGGCGGCTTGTCAGCATGCCCCACGCGTCAGGAGAGCCTGGAAGGCCACGGACTCGGATCCAGAGTCCTGCAAGTAGTGAGGATCTGTTTCCCACGTTTGTTGGGAGTCATCTGGCCCAAATCCATCTCCCCGTCTGCAAGCCACTTTCTCGACTTGTGTATGGACTGCGAGTCCATCGTACTGTCACGCATAACGGCATAACAGTGCCGCCTGTATAGACAGAACTGCGCCTCGAAGTTTGCAAGGTCAATATCAACTGGAAGAGCTTCGGTGAGCTGAGGCAAAAGTTGGCCCGTGAAGTGGGTAAGCCTTGCCAGGCTGTCTTTCTGAGCCAGCAGGGCCTGTTCGTCCTCTTGTGTCAAAACCCATGTGTACACGTGAGTGCGGTTCATGAGAAAGTTCAGGAACTGCAACAATCCTGCGCAGGAGTCCTCCCAAGCGAGTAGAAACGGCTTGGCGGGTGCCGCCTCTTGCTTGACATATTCCAGAGCAGGTGCTTGAACTTCTGCGGGTGCTGACTGAACTGGTGTTGACCGAATCCCTTGAACTTGCAGAGGTGCTGAAAGCTCCTGCTGGGCATCTTTGAAGCTACAGAAGCCTCGGTGTGTGCGCGGGCCACTTCCGCAGCCATGCCTTGTACTGGTCGGACAGCTCTCTCTCTCTCTCTCTCTCTCTCTCTCTCTCTCTCTGCACGAGTCCTCTCTTGCTCCTGCTTCCACATCACGTAACGAAGATACTTCCGCATGTCGAGACCTGAGATCTGCACTTGGGAAAACCTTCACGTGATCATCAGGATGCAAAGCCCGAATCAGGGATGGCGACGATCTCCTGGCTGGACATGGGGCCCGTGAGAGGGATGATCTCCTGGCTCGAGCTCCATGCGGCGATTTCACGGCTGTCCACGACCACTCGGAAGGCCTTCGAGTTGGGCTGCCGTGGGCCTCCGCCGGTGGGGTCTCTCCCCTAGTCTTGCTGAACATCCCCTTTCCAGAGCCCACACACACCACCCCCACCACCCACACCGCCCCCAGCGCGCTCGCCCCCGTTTGGCTGGTATTTCTTAAGTGTTTAGAGAGCGGAAATAACTGCTCTGCTGACTTCTCTAGACGTGGAGTCTCTTCTGGAAAAACTCCAGAAAGGTTGAAGCCTGGGCCATGGATGCCTCGTCGTCAGCCCCTCAGCTTTGGCTCAATCGAGTCTCAGGAGACACATCCGCAGCACTTTGGAAGTCCGAAATCTGCGAGCTCGTGGCCTGATGGCTCCAGGATGCCATGAGCAGCTAAAATAGCTGCAAGGGCAATATTACCACTTTCGCAATTGCGGCGTAATCTAACATGCAGGAAACCACAGCAATGCAGCCATTCGCAGCAAGGGCAATTGGTTCACTGAGCAACCTGGAAGCTGAGTTCTTCACGTGTGCACGACTCGGCTCAGATCCTCCAACTCAGAAAGCCCAAACCTCTGAAGCCTGCGACTCACGGCTCTCCCAATCCTCCATGTCTATGTGGCCCTTGCGGTTTTCGTCGAGGAGGCGCCAGGCGCGCCGCAGACTCTCCTTCAACACACACACGTGCACTGATAAGCTGCTTTCCTGCCACGGCCTGCAGTCAGTCCCGACTCCTACGTACTCCGAGGAATGCGAGTAAAGGTTTATTCTGGGGCGACCTTTGCAAATTGCAGAGGCGGAGGAGGGCAGTGAAGGCCACCTTTCTGCACGTATATGTATGTTTTCGCATCGACTTCCGATCTTCCTACATGTTGTTCGAAGGAACGCTTGAGAGTCTCATATCTGCGACAAACATCGAACTATATCAAGATACGCACGGCAACCTAAACTGTGGAAGCAATACGGAAACCAGTCCAGAGGCGTGTCCCTGACGAAGGAAGGTGTGAGGCACAGATGCATATTGCAAGCTATCACGTTGTGAATCTGGCATTCCGAGGCGATCTTGCGGAGTTGCTGTAGAAATCAATTTCAAGACAGGATAAACCTTTCGCAGCTGCTAGCCAGCCAGAGCTTCCAATCCAGTCATCAATGAAGGCACTGATCATTTAAGCCATGGGTTTCTGACGAGCTCCAGCCTGCGTAGGCTCAGTAGCGGCGAGGAGTGGGCCAATCGCATCCATGAACCCTCGGCAACACGCCATGTGCTCACTAACATGATGTAGCTCGACAGAACACAGAGCTCCTGCAAAGTCCGTCTTCGGCGCTTTTCGCCGGCAAGCACGGATAGCAACCATCAATGGCTCCTGCTCCAGCCTCCAACATCACAAGTGATGCCATTGGTGTTGCGATGACAGGAGCCGGCGCCGCGTCTGCCTGTCCCATCCTAGGTTCTCCAAGTTGTCGATGGCTTCCTCCCACCAGACTGTCGTGATTTGCACATCCCCCAGCCGAAACTCCCCTCCTCCAGGTTAAGACGGCCTTTTCCTCGGAAACCCAGCAGTAAGAGAGTCTGGCGCGGGATTCTGCCACGGGCCTTCTGCATCTAGCAAGTCAAAGGCACCCTTCATCTCAAGAATTTCCGCCTGCAAGCAGGCTCGAGTCTCAAGTATCTGGAATATTCCCACATCCGAAGCTGGGGAGTGCCTCTGTAATACCTGGCCGGATGTACTCCTGGAGGGTCCGGGACATGCCAAGACCCACGAAACATGAGAAGCCATGAGCTGCGTGTCCTGTGGATCAAACTCTGGGACTGTATCATCCGCTTTCCTGATGCCGACGAACGAAGCTATATACAACTCCCCTCGAGACACTCAGCAAGGATGCCAATTGCAATTGGTTTTTCCAGACTAAAACCGCATTGGTCCCGCACCGGTCCCGGAATCAAAACTCATCGTAACATCCAACTAACATCCACTAGCCTGGCCGCGAACTTGATGTAGAGCGCTTCCGCCACGCTCCCGTTTTTTGTGTATATCGTCCAATGGTCGAAGGCCACACGAATTGTCCAAACTCGGATATTGTGCTTCCCGAAGTCATGTTCGTGCGGGAATGCCTCGTGCGTTTCGGTGGTGCGTTTCAAGTCCTCAGCGGAGCTCTTGGAATGGCTCTTGGTCTAGGGCTGGGTTGCAACGCAGCTGCTGACCAAAGACATCTTCCTTGATCATATACTGGCACCGTCAAGGAAGTCTCCAAGGGTCTGGATAGGTACAACTTCATGTACACAGTTCTACTAGAGTTTTGCCGTTTTGACCGCTGCTACTACTAGCGATGCCCCCATTACTTGTTGGCGTATCTATCCTCGCTCAAGCCTGCGAAGCAGAAATGGAGGCGCTCTGATCCACTTTCTGCTTTTGTGTTGCCCTGCTTCTGAGCCGGTGATGTTCTTTGAGGACCACAGTCGGCCACTTGGCGTGGTGGATGCATAGAGGAGAAGAGGCGGAGTGCTTGGCGGATGACGAGGCTCTTATTGATTCAGGTGACGCTGCCCACTGCGGCCCTCTGAGTTTGGCAATCTCCGCGACGTGGGGCCAGCAATGTGGCCTTCAAAACATTTCACGTGTGGCATAATTCAACGGTGGCAACGACTGGAAGGCCTTCAACGATGTTGACCCGACGTGTCTTCAGCGGGATGCGGTGGTTCTGCTGTGATAAACACGGTTACTTGCTTGCTTGCTCGCTCGCTCGCTTGCTTGCTTGGCACAGTAAGGTCGGGGCTCGAAACCCCAACCCCGACCTGTTGCGCTTTTCCTGTTATTCTCTGTGCCTCTGCCGTGCCATTTTCAGGCACTGAGGACAGTAACTGGTACTCGGCATTCTAGTCACTACATTTGCTCGTACCGCTATTCTAATCTGGAAAGAGCCTGCAAAGCAGCAACGGCAGAAACCTGAAGCCAGCTCGGCTTGGCTATGCTTGGCTTCTAGAAAGTCCAAAAACGCAGAAATTCCAGAAGCCGGCCACAAAAGCCACTCCAAAACCCCAAATCATGAATACAGAAGACAGAACACGAGGTTGGGGTTGGAAGGCTGGGAGGCGGGAAGCTGGAGGGAGGCTGGCACGGTGGAAGCTGAAGGTTGGCAGATTCGAGGGCTGGAAACCCAGAAGGCTGGGGCCACGAATGGTCAAGCATTCTAACAGTACTGGCTGAGTTGCAGACGCTAGCAGATCTTCCAAATCTTCCTCCCTGCAGTGGCTTCTTGCGACGTGTCACAAAGCTCCACTCTGACACGGCCACGACAAATGCAACCAAGCTGCGTGGAAAGCTCCACCCGGCCACCGCGACGGGCCTGAGAAAATTTGCGCCACTGTGATATGCTAGCTCGTCATGCTCTGATGGGTACAGGGCTGAATCTTTCCAAATCCCAGTGGCTCGAAAGGAGGTGGCAGGTTGCAGCGATTGGGGCGCATCCGGCATTCAAAGGCACAGACTGCTCTTGTCGAGAACCGAACCTGCTGTGGTGGGGTGACTGCACGTTCCCATGCGTGCGTGACTGCATGACCTGGAGCCGATCCATACAGCAAACATCGGCAAACCGTTCAGATCAGGGTCGCGGCGGGCATGCTACGAGTATCTGCTCAAGACAAACCGGCACATGCGAGCAGAGCTTCTTTGGGCTGGAGCTACGATCTCCAGAGCAAGCCAGTCTCATGATCGAGTTTCGACTCTCAGCTTGGACAATGCCGGATGAAGATTGCACCAATAGGTCAGGGAATTATGAGACTAGTTGAAGGAAACTCCGGCAAACTCAACGGACTGGGGGCTTGAGGTGCAAAGCTCGGACGCGGTTCATCACTGCTTGCATCTGCGGGAAAGTGATGCTTTCCATCACTTCCGCCCTCCTTTGTGCTTGGTCGCATTGCCGCGTCGCCCTCATCCTCACCTGCGACGTGACTGCAGCGAAAGATGATTGGGATGAATCTGCGCATGACTGCAGCGGCGCATCTTTTGGGCCGTTCACGTCGTCTAACACGGCTGGCCGTTGTACACGACACACAGATCAAGTCACTCGATTCCGTGATGTCTCTGACTCTAACCTAAAAAACTATTGCACTACATTTGGTGCATCCGGAAATGCACAGCCTCGGACGCAAATCCACACTTGCCTGTGACTCGTGAGTCTCTTGTGAGCACTGACTAGACCGTCGCTTGGCAAATCAGATTTGCGCTGGAGGCAATGGACCTGCAGTTCGAATTGGCGCCAGCTCCTCCAGAAAATCTGCACGTGATGTTGCCTCCCGTATGACAGCTCTTTGTGCCCTCTCCGGTCCTTGAAGCCCCATGCATTTTCCATTCGCAGCCGGCGGAGGAGCCCCGAATCGTACTGAGGGCAAAGTGTCGCAGGATCTGGCTCTTCAAGAACCTGGAGTCGGAGGCAGGTCGGAGGTGTCTGCTACACTGAACCTCCAAAACAGTGTAGTTGAAGCACTCGGCGAGGGACGCTCGGAATCCCCAATTTGACCAAACTTCTGATGACATCATGGGCGTCGTCATCAACTTGGGCAAGCTCCCCAAGAAGCAGAGAGCGATTCCTCACATGTTCGTGCTCAAGGGTGCTCACTTTGGCTGCAAGATTTCTGCCGAGCCTTTCTTCTTTGTCAACCGACCGGTTGGCAGTTGCCGCACGAACCTCCTGTCCCAATGCATTGGGTACACACCGTGCAGATCCAGGGTGCAATCTGCATCTGGTCGTCCTCGTCTCGTAAACGGTCGAGACGAAAGAATATTGCTTGCTGCTGCTCCGCTAAGTGCTCAAGCTGTCGCCGCCCCTGATGCCAAAAATACTGCAAGCTGCAAGTTCTGCGGAACCAGCTCGAACCACCCCGGCCTTTCTGATCTGCAGCTGAACATGGCTTCGTGAGACGAGCTTCGGTGCAAATGAGCATTCCTTTAGATCCTGCCGATTGCCCGGCGGTGGGCCAGTCATGTTCATGACCGAGACACAAGCACAAGCACGAGGTACGGCAGAACGGGACCTCTTCTGCACGCTGCTCTGCCTGATTCAAGGTCTCAACAAAACAGGTTTTCAGACATGTCAAAGTCAAAACAACTCAGGCCTTGCAGCGCCGCATCTCCTCTCGCTGCTGCAGCCGCTGCTGGTGTCGTCGGAGGACTTCTTCTGCCCAAGCCTTTCCCGATGCAGGCGGAGCCTTGCACTTCGGCTTTGTGTCCACCAGCTCAGGCGGCTTTTGCTCCTTGCCGGTGCTCCCCTGTTCTCGCCTTGGAACTCCAGATCACTCAGACTTTCCATTTATTGGCATCTGCCCGAGGCCTCAAGTGCCGGCAGCGACCTTCCAGGTACAGCGCCTCGCAGCGCGGATGGAGCTCCCGGAGCGGAGCCCGCGGAGCCTGCGCAGCCTGCGGAGCCCGGACCTGGCACGACTTCCCGGCCTCAGAAACCTCTCTCGACATCTCTCGACTCTGACATGCAGACCTGGCAGGGCTCGCGAGCTTGGAAGCGAGGCGTCCGGCTTCGAAACGCGGCAGTGCCGGACTTGCCACATGCAGCTGCAAGCACCCCCTGAGCTTCCACCAAGCGACGACTACTGGTGAGAAGCTCGAACAAGCGCTTCCGAGGCGCTAGATGCCAAGATCCTCTTGTGCTCATTTGGCATCCAGCAGATCTAGATCGAATCTGCGATCCGCCTGGAACGCACCAGCAATGGCTAGCCTTCCAATAGTCCGGATGAACACCTTGTAGCTCTGCATGCGCTTTGGCTCGCACAGAACCCTGTGTAACGAGCAAGGATTTCGTAGTAGTAGCAGTAGTACACGTAGTACTACTCATGCAGATATTCACAAGTAATACATGTAATACTCGTAGTACTACTAGCGCTACTCGTACTAGTACTACTGGTAGTACTACTTTTTGTCACCCAGATGGCATGCCTCTAGTCGTCGTCGTAGTAGTAGTATTCGTAGTAGTAGCAGCAGCAGCAGTAGTCGTCGTCGTAGTGGTAATGGTCGTAGTAGTAGCCGTAGTAGTAGCAGTAGTCGTCGTCGTAGTGGTAATGGTCGTAGTAGTAGCCGTAGTAGTAGCCGTAGTAATGGTAGTCGTAGTCGTAGTCGTAGTCGTAGTCGTAGTCGTCGTCGTAGTCGTCGTCGTAGTAGTAGTAGTAGTAAGTCATCGTAGTAGTAGTAGTAGTAGTAAGAGTAGTAGCAGTAGTGGGAGCATTAATTTTAAAGTAGGAGGAGGCGTTGTGGTGGTAGTGGTCGTGGTCGTGGTATTGGCAGTGGTAGTGGTAGCGGCATAGTGGTAGTGGCAGTGGCAGTGGTACTGGTACTGGTACTTACAATTACTTACACACTGGTACTGCTGGTGGTGAAGGTGATGGAAGCCACAGTAGCTGCAGCAGCAGCAGTCAGCAGTGAGCCAGCACCAACTAAGCACCAGCAAGCAGACAGCTAAAAATCAAAGGCAACGGGAGCAGCTGCGACAGCAAATGAAGACACAAAAGATTTCCGTACTCTTTTTGTTGGCCATGTGTCTTTGGTACAGGTAGCATCAACCTGGGCACAACCACGAACAGATTCGCTGCACCTTGGGAGGAAGATGCGCTGGTCTTGCTGCAGTTGCAATCGGTGGATTCTCCAGACAAAGCCTGCGCACTTCCAGGCTGGAGGCCCGAGGGAGCTCAGCAAACCCTTCCCGAGCCTCCAGGTTGCAAGGTTCCGCTTGATACAGATATTTGAGCCTGGCCGTGGTCTGCCATTATCTGACGTGATGTTGACTCAACGGTGGTGACAGTCTGCCTTTCGCCGTGTAACGGGCTCACCTCCATACACATTGGATTTGCCGCGCCGTGGCGGAAACTTGACACAACGTTCTTGACCTCTTCATCTCCTTCCGGTACCGGCGATGGGGGGGTCTTCGCTGAGAAGCTCCACGTCAGAGCGGCCATCAACGAATTAGATTATGACACTAACCTGCCGAAAGACATCATCTAAACCAGAACTCTACAGTACGCTCAAGAGCTTGAGGCAACAGCGACAATGCGTATAGGCATTGCTGACTGGTGTTACATGTATGTGCATGAAACTTTAGATCGATACCTGGCGAAGTCTGGGCCGTCAGCGGCAAACTCATGCATTGAATTTCGGAACGATGCACAGCCAAACTTGCTCCATAGACTGTTGACTGCTGCATGCCATGCCCACCTCCTTCCTGCACATCATCTGCACGTCCACAATGCCCGCCATGCTGGGGCCCTGTGGGAAAACAGCTTGGATTCTGGAATCGCAGCCGCATCCGCAAATGCGGCAAGCACTGCCTCTGCCGTCTAGCCAGAGAGTGCCGTTGCCACAATCTGTGAAACCTCGTCAGCCCCTGCGCGGAAAGGCTCAGTAAATGTGCTCCCTCATCATACACGAAGATGTATTGCCGCAGCAGCCAAGAATCAAGCTCGTCAGCGGCAGGAAATGGCCTCATGATTTACATTTCAAGTGACCTGCCACTCGGCGAAACTGATGGGATGCGGCCTGCATCTTGCAAGAGCTTGAATGCCCCTGGGCGTTCCATTGCAATCTCACAAACAAGTCTGGGCCAAGCGAAGCAAGAGCTTGGAGACCAACGCAAAGATCCGGTTGCTTCGAAGCCATCTTTCAATGCAGTCGGGCGCCTAGTTTGCAGCAGAATCGTTTTGTCTCAGTAGTGGGCTGACATAAGCTGAGCAGAATCGCGGTACCCGCTCGTCATCCGAGCTGAGAAGCACGGCCTCGGAAGAGCCCTCATGGATGCACATCCAACGGTCTGTTGCTTGAGGCTTCTGCACTAGGCAAAGTCAGAGCCGGAATGTGGGGATGCAAATCGAAGTTCCACTGCATGTCAGTGAGGTTTCCTGCAGTGCGACTGTACTGCTCAGCCACGAATTTGATAGTCCGACTCTAATGCGGCCAGTGCTCGCATTGCCCACTCACTGGCTGCAGTTCGGCTTGCCTCGAAGGCAGGTTGGTAGAAAGGTTGTTGCTTTTGCGCCAAGCCGCCAGGCCAGGCTGGTCCTTGAGCCCTTGCCTCTAAAGCAACCCGAACGGCTGCAAAGGAGGCATTGGCACCCAGCCGCTTGGACATTGAGACCTTTGTGTGGCAAGAAGAGAGCTTGGATCTTGGTCCCGTGAGATGGAACACTGGTACATGTGCCTCTCCGAACAAATCGAAATATGAAACGATTTCTGGCAAGTGAACCACCTCGGCACTTGGTGCTCTCGGCCACAGCATGCAGCATACATACGCTATGCAGGCATCAAGCTTAGCTCCGAACAGCAAACAATTTCGACAACTGCCTCGTCGAGGAATTCAGATATTGCATGGCAACGTCGCTCAATGAAGTCCCCACTGAGCTGCCAACCTTAGCAAGTCATGGCCGACGGTTTCCTGAAGGTTGCCTGCAGAACACCTCGAGGACGCATGGTTCACTCACACAGTCACATCGAGTTCTTTTGAACAAGCAGCCCGGGCACGGGACGCAATGCATACAAATCCATGCGGAAGCCTTGAGGGAGAGCTTTTTTGTCAAGATACCCTACGTCTGATGTCGACTTTGCTTCGGTCCTCCACCTGGCATGCTTGGGATTATTCAGCATGTACTGGATGGCTATGAAGCCTCGGGATACAAGATGGACAAAATATCGAACGGTGAACACTTACTTGCATCCACGTCACCCCCAACACCATGTCCGACAAGAGCACCGTCACGCACGTCAAAGAAATCCAAAACCTCAGCAAGCATTGGTAAAGCGTTCCGCATTACAAACCAATTCATCATCACAACACCGCCACACCCAGCATCCGACTCGCACGATGTCCTGGCAAAGCGACTCCATCTCCAACGACCCAGCCGTCAGGTCGCTCCTCCTTAACGTACACAAACCCTGAACGCTTGCAACAAGTGGCGATTCAAATGTCTGCGGACCTACAAACCTGTCTGCGATGCTTCTTTTTATGCTATGAAAGGAAGGTGCTCGCACGGCTGTGTTTTGTTGCCGTCTACTCGTGTCTCCTAAGAAGCACTCAAGAGTTTTTTGCACTCGACACATCCAATGACGACCAGCTTGCAGTGTTGAATGGATCGTGGGCGGGAATGTCAAGAATTCCGTGTAGAAGTAACTGCAAGTACGCTTTTAGGCGCTTCGGCCGGTCTGACGCAGTCCGCCCTCGTGCGCTCACCATCCTGGTTTTCCGGTGAGGTGTTTTTCGCGAGGTCAAAGGGTGCGCATTGCAGCAGGATTCCCGTCCTCCAAAATTGGCGAAAAACCTTGATATATTTCTGCAGTGCTTGCAAGCAGGAGGCTGGCGAAGCCGCAGGCCCTGCAGCCCTAGATAATTTGCGACGGAGCAGACATAAGCCGCCCGAAGTTGCGCAGGTTACACGACCCTGTTTTTCGACACGCCTTGTTGCACTTGATGAAAGAACACGTGCTGAAGAGCTTGTGGTCGGCTACAGTACATATGGTGGCTTGGCGTCCTATCCGCGCCGGCTCTCCTGCCCGAGTCCAGCGATCTTTGTCACTCTTGCAGCGGACATCGCCCAAATCAGCGCTGCTGGGCGTGTATAGGGGGGCTGCAACGGCGCAGCTGCTGAGGCAGCCCCGACACGTGCCTGACGGCCTTCTCGTGGCATGGGTGTCCAATGCGCACGCTGCAAAAGGCGCTTCCAATCCGTGTGATCCGATGTTAGGGCAGCCTCTGCGGTCAGATCACAGTAAGTCTGGAGGGTCTTTGGAAGTAACGCATTCCACACATGTTCGCTGCCCCCTTTGCACGTGTTCCCGAAAACTTCAGGTCAACACCATGGCTTCCAAACACACACCCTATGCAAGGGGGGAAGGTGCTGTGAACCTGCCAAGACTGCGGAAATTACGGCGAAATCGTTCGGCGTGGCCACAGTCGTCGTCAGAAGACAAGACCGGACACGTCAGTGCACCGAGACAGACCGGTGAGGCACGAACAGGGAGAGAGAGAGAGAGAGAGAGAGAAAGAAAGCCGGGAAAGGAAGAACAGAAAGCGGAATAGGTAACCCCTGGCACGCGCCAGAAATTGCAGCAGCTAAAGCCAAAACAAACAGAACACGTGCGTAGAGAGACACACAGACCGGAGGGGAGCAAACAGGGAAACACAGCGTGAGGGGCGAGAAAAAGAAGAACAGAAAGCAGACATGCGCACTCCGTTGCATTGCAGAACACTATTCTGCTATAAAATCAAAAGCTTACGATTGGATATCAGCTATGGTGCACCAGCTAGAACGGCTGAAAGCCTCGGGAGCATGACGACCTGCGGTCGTCAAGCGCATTTGCCGACAAATGACATTTACAGGAGGCTGAACGTAATTTTTGTTGTTTCCGCACCTTTTTTCCGTCTGCGAAAAAGTGGTCAGGTCGGGCAGCTATTGTCCCTACGAGCGGCGCCAGACGTGCGGCTATGGGGCACGCAGCGGCAGCAAGGAAGGTAGCGCAGGCTCGGCCAGCTCGACGACTTCCCTGAGTGTCGGCTGCCCATCGCTACCCGGTTGCGCCGGTGCTCGCCAAGTGCCACCCAGCACCACCACCTGCATCGCCAGCCTGCTGTGTCTGCAGCGCGTAGCGTGGATGGAGCTCGCAGAGACCGCGCTCGCACGAGGCGGCGGAGGTCGTGGGCCTCGTTGCACCAGCGGCCGCCGACCTCGCATGCCAGCACCACGAAGGGCTGCGGCCCGTGCCGAGCGAGTTCTGGGTACCGCGCGAACTTGCGGCGCCGTGCGACTTCGATAGCCGTCGCGATCGCGGCTTCCTGGCTGCGCCCATCCACGCGCAAGGTGACGTCGCAGCACCGCGCTTCGCCGCGCCTGGAGGCGCCATACAAAACGAAGTCAAGCCAGCGCCGATCGTCGGCTGGGATCCCCGGCGCAGTGGTGTGCAACAGCCACTGCTCAGGCACCACTCGGCCTTCAGCTCCTACAGCTCCGCGAGCGACCCGCACTGTACATGTACTTCATTCGCTAATGCCCACGAGGGTAGCTGCCGAGTGGCCGCTGGAAAAAAAGAAACCGATTTTTGGCCCTTCCGTTTTGTCCTGCGATGCCTCCGTATGCATTTTCATTAGCAAGCTAGCATTCTGCAACCCATAACGATGTCCACTTTCCCAAGCCGGACCACACCGCCCAATTATTCATTCAGAAGCAGCTCACAAATGTCCGACGCAGAGTGTTTGTGCTTACACATCTCCTGTGCCTGAGTGCCAGAACATACACTGGCCACAAAACATACATTGTTTGCGGTTTCGCGGGCACGGTTGGTGGCTGCGGAGGTGCTAAACAAGATTCACAAGCTGAGCGGGTAATTACCGCGGTCGAGCTCGAGAACGCCACCTTTCTCTCAAGGCACGTTGCGCAGCGCAATGAAGGAGAGCATGCGCACCAGCGTCTGAATGACCAGCACAAAAGCGGCAAGGCCTGCTGGATTTTCTTGATGACTGGCATTGCGCCCATCACAGAAGGGGTGATGACTACAGCGGGCGAATCCCAAGCAGCAAACATGGACAGGAGACACGTGCCGGCCTGCCCACACATGCGCGCACACCAGGGTTCACTTGCAACGTGTGCACATTTCAGATCAACGGAAGAACCAAAGTTTTGTCACGCCTCTGCCCGTCCGCGTGCGAAATTCAATGTGCGGACGACTCTAGGGTTCGCCCCGATTTCCTCAGTCGCAACTTTTCTCGCAGCAGCTTCCGGCCTGCACGACCAATCCACGCTGCCAGTACGCTACCTGGACTACACACTGCGCAAAAAACAGCCGGTTTTTTTTTTCAAAAGCTGCACATAAAAGTCCGGGTCCCCGAGCAACTGCAAGCTACGGACCCAGCAGCTCCGGGTGGGGGAACTTCCTCGTGCAGCACGTCCCCGAGCGCTCGGAGCTGAATGGCTCCAACAATGTATGGCGTGCCCAACAACGTTGCTTAGGCACCACCGCGGGCGCAGCCAGCCCTGGCTAGCGGCGCTGCGCAGGGCGGCACGCAGGAGCGCTCTGAACCAGCCTCGCACGGGGTATCACGGGGTGGCGCAGTGGGGTGGCGCTGAGCCAGGCTGCAGCGGTGAACGCTGATGCTGCCGGCCCTGGCACCTCTCGCCAAGCTCGCGCAGATTGCATGGTGCGGCCCTTGCAGCCTTGAGTAAGTCGCTGCGGGCAAATGCACGGCCAGCCTCCTCAGCAGCGCGCAGGCACGCGGCCGAAGCAGGACTTTGGGTGACCTCGGCAATTCAACGGGCCGCAGCATCGGGGCGACGAGCGAGCAAAGCAGGCAGTCGGCCCAACCAGCCAAGCATGCAGGAGGCAGTGCGTGCGGCGCACTGCAAGCCCAAGCCTCCCGGGCGCGAAGGCAGCAATGCAAGGCGGCGCACGGCGGCCACCTTGGGGTCTATATGTCCTCCTCGCCGAGCAACGCGAACAGGCGTCGCCAGACGGCATCGTCATGGTCGCACAGAGAGCGGGAGGGGGAGGGTGCGCAACTGGTGGTCGGCACGCGGCGGATCACACATAGCACGAAAAAGCGACGCGCAATGGAAGTTATAGGCAACGAGGGAAGCTCATGCAGTCACCGTCCCTCCTCGAGCAGGCATGCATGTGCGCTGGCGGCAACAAAGCGCGGGTGGCCAATGAGAGTGCCCAACCAGACAAACCCATGCTGAATCTCGCGTGCATCCCCCCGCCACACGCCTAGTCCCTTGGCTGGACTGGTGCGAAACTCGAACGCGTGTTCTCGCTTTGATGGATCTTCGTGGTGTGTGGACACGAGAACCCGTATGCACCTCGGCGTCGAAAAAGCCTTTCGCGAGCCAGTGGTGTCTGCACCTCACGCGGGGGCCGTGAGCTATCACCACGCTGCCTGCTGCACTCAGCTTCCGCAAGTCCGCTGGAATGCATGCGCCTTTTGCTGTGCCTTTTACTGCTTCGCCGCTCCGTGCACACTGACTCGATATTACCCGACTCTCGTTCCAAACATACGATGCACGGCTGCCGGCATCCTGCAGTGGCAATCGGCTCGGTCCTGCTGCTTCGGTGAAATCGCACACGCGGTCAACGCGGTCAAGCTGTTGGGCACACCCCCAAACTGACGCCACAAAGCTTGGTCGCGAAGCTTCTCGTCGAACATCAAGCATTGCTGGATATTTGCGCGCGGCGATCCAGTGCGCAATGGGGCACGCGGCTCTGAAACGTGCACACACGTGACCTCGTTGCTTCCCTTGTTGCTTCCCTTGGAAGAGGTCCACCCGCTGCAAACAACATGGAGATGCTTGAAACAAGAACAATGGTCGGATCGGTCGAGTTGAACTTGACTTCACCGCATTTTGCACAATTTCAAGCCTGCGACCTTGAATGGGGTTGGTGTCTCAAACGTTGGCGACGTGTTCACCCAACCTGGTTGTTCCAGGATGTCAAGGCCAGCTTGCATGGCATGGTGCTGAAGCGATGCCCAACGCAGAAAGTTGGTTCACGGGCCTGCGTGTTGAATTTGCGTGTGCCTCATGCTGTTGCCATGCAAGTGACGAGTGGAATGCATCAACAACGACATCGCAACAATGCATCACGGTACTGACTGTGGCATCGGTCGGCATCGGTAATTGCAGGGTTGTTTTGAAAGCACTAAAACTAAATTTCGAGCTTTGACGAACAAACCAAATCTCAGCGGCGAGCCCATGACCCGGCAAATCGGCGGCCACTATTCGATGTCCGCTTTCACGGAGTAGGGACCACACCATGGACCACGTTTCCTCAGAAAGCTGCGGATGTTGCTAAACAACGGGCACCGAAACTGCATTCACCTACATTACCCCCAAAGCAGGCGAGTGTGCTGCCGGGGCACTATCCTCAACCTCCGCAAATATTGCCCCAAAATGCAACACACCCTTTCGCCGACGATTGTAAGGGCAAAACCTTGCATCATGCACGAGCACTGCCGTTTTGCCAGACCAACTCGGTGGTGTCGCCATTGCATTGATTTTTCGCCTGCATAATTGCGTTTCGTGTCGATCACTTTCTCAAGCGGCAAGCATAGCTGCAAGCACGGTGCTCTGCAGCCGGTGTTGCTTGCAAGGTGTACCTGCATTTCAATGACATGCCATTGCAACAATGCATTAAGTCTCCCAAGAACCTGGTCGCATCCAGCAGTGGCGCTGCAAGCTCCTCTTCGACCACGGGGCTCAGATGCAAAGTCAACCTCAAAACGCTCCTCGTAAGACGCCCCTTCAAGTTTGTCCACAATCTTTCGGTGTGATCGCCACACGTGCACGTACCTTTACCAGAACAAACCGTTGAATGTTGTCCGGCTTCTGCGCGGAGTGCTCTGAGTAGCGTGCAAAGCAACACAAACTCCTAACCAGCTCCGTCGTGGAAGCATGTGGGCTGGATGAACACACTACAAATGATTTACATATTGGGTGTAAATCTTTGTACGGGATCTGGCACACTATCGACGAATACATGCGGGATGCACGGACTGAGGATGGGCTTCAAATGCGCCAACACGCACTTCAATCTCGTCCCAAAAATGGCATGTGCTGACCACAAAGACATGCACTTTCGTTGTATCATGTATTCATACTGCTAGCTGCTATCTGACCCACACTGTCGTGGAGAGAATGCCTGATTTCTCGATTGACCGCGCGCATTGGCAGCACAATAGGCATCACATCGACCGAAGAGTATGCAACGCCAGCGCACACGGGCACTATCTGCAAAAGCGCAAAACAACAGCAAAGCGAATCAGGCTTCATCCAACCAAACGCCAAAAAGAAGGCCAGATGGGACTTCGGGATGTGAAACAGGAGCAGTCCAAAACATCCATCTTACGTCGAGTTCTGGAAGCGCTTCAATTCATGCCGAAACAATGCAAACTGTCTACTTCTGATGAAATCGCACGCATGGCAATTTGTCTTGAATTGTGAAAGCATCGAACATATTCGTGATTTTAACTTCTCGTACTCAGTTGTTTTGCAACATTGTCCTTTTGGTTTTGCTGTGCATGCGTTTTCATTGCAATGCAGCTGGCAACATGAGTTTTAATTGAATTGAAATTCACTCTCCGAGCAACGAACACAATTGGTTTCGATTCGGCACGTTTTTTCAAGGAACAACCAAAGGGCAAAAGGAAATGCCTCAAGAGCGAAGTTTGCAAGAATGTCTTCTCAACTCTTGTCGGGGTTTTCTCAACTCCAATTCTCGAAAGAAGCTCTCACTCAAGCTCTTGGAGGAGAGTCAGGAATTCGTTCAAACCCCCTGCAAAAAAAAAACAAAAAGACACACCGGTGCTGCGCTCCGCAGCAAATCTTGCTGACGGTCAAGCACAGGGCCAACATGATATGATAATGATAAAGACTGTAAGGGGCAACTATGTTGAATGGTGGCATCTAGAAGAAAGGAACTTCGCGGTTGATTTCTTGAATCAGCTTTGCCAGGCTGTGGAACCTCGCTAAGCGGCGCATCCGACACTTAAAGCTTTTGAACCCAATTGAAACCACTCAAAAAATCATCAATCACAACAAACACAAGAAAACAGCGGGGAAACGGAAGCGCTTCCAACCCAAGAAAAGAGTTCAGTAAACTAACTGCGGCGTGCGTTGACTTGGTCAGCAGGAGCCGTTCAGCGCAAAAAAACGACGGCAAGTGAGCAGTCGCCCAAAAGCCGCTCAGGACGGGTGAAGTCCATTGCAAGGCTCCCACTGTCGTCAAACAACGGTCAAATTCTCCAACAAATTTTTGCTCATCGTGCAAGCAACAACCCTCCATTTTTGAACGAGCTGCCAAGGCCGGCGAACGTCCACAAAGGCGATCAAAGGCGGAGGCACATCAAAATCCGACTGTCGCACAAGCCACGGTGGCACGCTGAGCGGTCGTAGCTTCCAACAGATCCAGACATCCAACTTGCTGCGAAAGGCCAGATCAACGAAAGCGTCTTTGCAAAGAGTTTTCAAGATGCAGGTGGCAAAGACCAGCAACAAGACCCCTCCCATGCCAGAAAAAGAACACTGTTTCAGAAAATCGGAGCAGGTTCCCAGATGGCTTCACAACCTCTGAGAAGCAAGCCTGCAAGCCGCGGCACCAGCTGCAAGCGCAGCCAACGTGATCAAGGTGGAGGCTACCACTCCGAGTGTGCCGGCTCCGGCAGATGAACCGAGTGCTCTTCGACTTGACGTTTCGTGTTTTCTTTTTGGAAATGGGTTGCTCTTTTTTTCGACCCCGAAATATTTTTTTTCAGACCCCGCGCTTGGTCCATCTTGATTCGACCCCGGCATGTCTTTTTTCCGACCTCCATCTTTTCTTCAGCCCCGCGACGAGGTCTAGAAAAAGATTACGATCTTTTTTTCGACCTCCACTCTACGATTTAAGCCGTCTTTTTCTCGGCCCCGAAATATCTCGTAACTGACCCCGTGTCTTTTTTCGAACCCCGATGGATCTTTTTCTGGGCCTCTAATGTCTTTTTTCTGACCTCTGCAAAGATAGAAGCACGCACACATGACATATCAAACAACACAACAAAGAGCGCCACAATGTGAATTTTGCAACGCAAACTGCACAAAAACTAACTTAACCATACTTAACTTCTCACACACACACACACACACAAAAAAAAATAAAGGAGAAGAAGCACCAAATCGCTTTTAGGGGCTGAAAGCGAACGAAAGAAATCAAAGCGTGTCATCGAAAAATATCAAAAAAACGCTTTCCAACACGAAGGAAGGAGAAGTCACACTATCGTTTTAGGGCGCAAAAGCATCAAAATAAGAATGAAAACAATGAAAACACACACACACACACACACACACGACAAACAAAGGATCTTTTTTCCACCTCCAACTTGTCTTTTTCTGGCCTCTGCTTGGGGCCGAAAAAAATCAAGGTCTTTTTTTGGACCGCGGATGTCGAACAAAAAGCAAAGAAGATCGCGTGGTCTGGAAAAAGACATCTTGAGGTCTGGAAAGAGACCAGCCGTTTTTCGTTTTTTTTTTGGCGTAGAACCTCGGTGACAGCGGCTGCTGCGCTCGGTCCCAGTGGCCCAGTAATAAACAACAAGATCAAACTAAAGAAACTAACACCTGTAAAGTGAGACGATGTGGCTGCGACATGACTTGGCCGGCGAAGTCGCTCAATCGGGCCTGCCCGCTCACTGGCCCCGCTCCCCTTTGGGCGTTTGCCGATCGCCTGTGGCAGCCGGGAGGTTTAGCGGCCAAGCTTCCAGCACCGCAGCGGCCCGTGTTCGCAAGGAAGCAGTCATTTGCCCGAGTACAATATATCGCAGCAGCTTCAGGCCGGGTGCCGCAGGCGCTGTGAGAGCATTCCAGGACTGAGAGAGTACAGAAACTTGGGGCACTGTGCGCTGGCGCTCAGACAGGGCTGAAATCATGGGACATTGAGAGATTGCCAAAAAGAGGCGCCTCCGGAGAGAGCACCGAAAATCCTCATGCTCGTCTTCGGGGGCCTCCCTTGTCAAGAGGCAGGATCCCTCTGCACACACACCAAAGAAAAGCTGCACACGGTTGGACAGCAATGGCGTTGAGGACGAAACGAATACTGTATCGGTTACCAGGCGATGTTCTGCTTCTTTCTCTTGACGTTGAAGAGCGGGTCTCTGAACGATTGAATGCGGCATTTTGTGTGTCGCTGAATTTTCATGTTTCTGTGGGCGAGCTCAGCAGGCCATTGTCCGGCTGCGGGAGCTCTGCTTTGGGTTTGTTGTCTTGAGACTTCTGACGGTCTGCTGTTGAGCTGGAGGTCGCTTTGCGCGAGGCTCCATTGTACAGCTTACACTGACAAACACTGCAGCACGTGTGAAAGCTTGTCCTCTTAACGTACTGTCTGGGACCCGTCGCCCGTCCCCTAGAAAAGCTTTGGTTTCAGAGGACACGGAAGGCCTCGGCAAGGGCCTCCATCTTCACAGAGACAAAGACCACAGAGTTGAGCAAAAAGCTTTGGCGGTAACAGCAGTCATGTAAAGAATCATGTCCTGCTTGAGCGAATGCGTTGCTCCACTGCGCACCACGGCAGAGTAGGAACATTTGTTCTCTTTCCCCAGGCTTACACTTGAGGCACCTGCTCGCCCATTGGGCTGCATCCAGCCGCACTGCACGCACATGTCGCGCACGATTCAGCTTACCAGAAAAACTCACACGTTTAGGAGTTACCCTTCATGCGAAGGATCTCTTGGAGATCTTGTGCTCAGCTCTTTCACATGCTTCAAAAGTCTTGCACTTTCAAGACGATCCCAACCACCCATGCTGCAAGCTGTCCAGCCTCTGCTTCTTCTGCTTTGCGACTTTCAAGGCTTTCTGGGTTGCTTTGCTCTCTTCCTTAAGTGCTTTCTTGCGAGCCCGCAAATGCGCCAGACGTTGCTCCAGCGTCTCCTGCCCAAGAAAGCGATTTGAAAGAGCTGTGTTCCCCTAAAGCTGCTCAGGTTATGTCCCTCGTCAAACTCTCTATCCAAAAATTTTTTTGGCGTGGGCGGGCCTCGTCGACTACGGCTGTAGCACTCGGTCCCAGTAAGAAGTGAATGTAGACAAGAAGATAATGAAGAACTGTACAAAAAGATCCTAACGGGTGAAACAGGTCGCGACTTGCAGACTTAGCCAGCAGGGATCGTTCGACCTTCTAAGTGTAGCGGCTCTCAGTTGGCCTTCTCCAAAGCGGCAACAAGTTGCACAGCAGCCGTACCGGAGAATCCCAGTTCTCCAACATGTGGGTTTTGAGGAGATACCCAACGTATGCGATGTGACAAAGAGCCGCGCACCGGTAGACCATCATCAGGAGAACGCGACAGGCCAACCATACCCAGCTTCCCATGGATGGGCAACGCAAGGGCCAAACGAGGATTGCTCAACGGGCCAGCCCAGTCTCCCACTTGGATATCGCACGGGCAACGCACAAGAGCGCATCGCGTCGAGTGCGCTGAACCGATGTGTAGCTGTCCGCCGGACATGGCTTCCCAGTGCAGACGTCGCAGAAGGTGATCAGACGGGTCACCACGGTGATGACCGATAAGCCCAGCTTCCCAGGAGTGGGTATCGCAAGGGCCAATCGTAAGACACGAGTTGCTTAGCACCGTCCGGCAATCCAACAAGACAAGTGTCGCACGAAGAAAGATGAGCCTGAACCCTGGCGGTCAAAGATACTGAGAACCGGTAGCGCCAAAGGACAAAGAAGCAAGCGGGGCCATCCAGCTCTTTCAAACCAGGTTTAGCTTCCCGGAGGGAGGCATCGCCGAGGTCAAGCGGGAAAAGCAGGAGGCACTGCCCAGCTTCCCATCATGTGAGTATCGCAAGGGCCACAGACGAGGTAGTGTTGCAGCCAAGTCCGGGGCCGCCGGACATGCCTTCCCAGTGCATACATCGCAGAAGGTGATCAGGC